ATGGCGGCCGCCCAAACAGAACGCGGCCGTCACCACCGTCGTCTTCTTTCTCATCTTCTTTTGTGTGTCAGCTTCCATTGGTTGGTTTGATGTTGTGAGTGTATATTATATGTACCATTAATTAAACATAATTTTTTCAATTGTTTGCTTAGAAAATCAAACTTTTCTTTGCTTGATTTTCTGATTCAAATTTTTATCTCTGTGTTTTAATTTAGTCTATATTCTCCTCGGGTCCTTATCGTCACGAACAAATTCTCTCTGATCCCACAAGAACGGAATCAACAGATTACAGGAACGGAATTTCTGCTGGGAAAGAATTTCACCTCAGTTGTTGTTCTCAAAAAAACCAAACACAGACATGTCCAGGAGACCATCCCACCACACACAACCCCACCAATCTTGGCCCTTCATCATCATGCCCATCATACTTCCGGTGGATTTATGAGAGTCTACGTCCCTGGAAGGAGATCGGAATCAGCAAGGACATGCTGGAACAGGCACGTCAGTATGCGGATATTGGGGTGGTAATTTTGAACGGGAAAGCCCATGCGGTGAAGTACGGTGAGAACGTATTTCAGACGAGGGATTTGTTTACTCTCTGGGGAATCCTACAGCTTCTCAGAAGGTACCCCGGAAGACTACCGGATATGGAGTTGGTGTTTGAATTGGGTGATTTGTCTGTTGTCCGGAAACAAAAATTCCTGGGTCCAAATGCTCGACCGCCACCCTTGTTCCGTTACTGTTCTGATGATTACAGCTTGGATATTGTCTTCCCCGATTGGACCTTCTGGGGCTGGTATAATAATAATAATGACATTTGATATACTTAATTAATTTGGTTTGTTTAAGAAATTCCTGATTTCGCTATCAGATTGCACAACAGGTTTTCTTTTTTTTTTTTAATACTAAAAACAGTATTTAATTTGTAATTGGTTTGGTTCGGCACAGGGCAGAGACAAATATAAGGCCATGGAAGAATACGTTGGAGGGCATAAAAGAAGGTAGTAAAAGGATGAAATGGGAGGACAGGGAGCCCTATGCTTTCTGGAAAGGTAATCCATATGTTGCTGCAAACGGTTCTAGAATCGACCTTTTGAAGTGCAATGTCTCTAAAAAGCACGACTGGAATACTCGACTCTATAGACAGGTATGCAAGTAAATGCATATGTATGTATACTATATATACGTGTAATAAATATTATATCTTCTTTATTTTTGCTTTTCTGATTTTATAGATTTCTTATTGCATTAGTTAATTTCTCCATTCTAGAATTGGAAGAAAGAGAGCCAACAAGGGTTCAAACACTCAAGCTTAGAAGACCAATGTATTCACAGGTAATCATAAGTTTATGCTTTCCAATTGTCAGTTTGACCTAATTTCAATAATAAGTTCTTCTATTTAATTAGTTTTGATAGTAATTTACTTCAATTTCTAAAGAATGACTGAAAGTTGAAGCCATATTGATCCATCCTCGAAATATATGAAAAAAAAAAAATTTTTTTTGAACAATTACAAATGTTGGGGATGGGATAATTTGAAACAGCTCATGGAGCTGTGGAACTGCATCTTTACCAATAGGCATGAGATCTCAAGGTGCCTATGAAAATAGTTTTCAGAAGTAATTACCTTTTAATTACGTTTTAATTAGTTAAGCCAAATTCCTAACCCCATTACTTTCATATTTGATGTGTTGAATTATATAGTTTCTTTTATCCCTATTTGGTTTCATGAAAACAGAGGAAATGGAAATAGCTTTCATTTTTCTCTCTCATTCCCTCATTTGATTATACAAAAATTATAAAAAGAAATTAAAAGGAACTCCTCTCCTCCTCATTCTCTCCAAATTTTGTTATTTAATTAAAAAAATTAATCTCATTCTCCTCACCTCAACCCAAACAAATTATTAGTGATTATCCTTTCTCTTATTAGCCAAGCAAAAGAAAAAAACTATATTAACTTGATGGTTTCTAATGTTTACAAACAGGTATAAAATATACATAGAAGGGCAAGGATGGTCCGTAAGTGAAAAATACATTATGGCTTGTGATTCCATGACCTTGTTTGTCAAACCTCGTTACTTCGATTTCTTTAGTAGAGAGTTGCTGCCGCTACAGCACTATTGGCCAATCAACAACAATGCAAAATGCACTTCTCTTAAGTTCGCTGTTGAATGGGGCAACACTCATCCAGAGAAGGCGAAGGCCATTGGAAAAGCCGCTGTCAAGTTTATGGAAGAGGATTTGAAGATGGATTGTGTTTATGATTACATGTTTCATTTGTTAACTGGCTATGCCAAGCTCCTCAAATTCAAACCCCAAGTTCCCGAGGGAGCTGTCGAGCTCTGTGCGGAAACAATGGCATGTGGTCAAAGTGGAAATGTTAAGAAATTTATGGTGGAATCCTTGGTGACCTCTCCTAGTCATACAGCTCCATGCGCCATGCCTCCGCCCTATGATGCGGTGGAGCTCCGAGTATTTCTTGAGAGAAAAGCTAATGCTATTAGGCAGGTTGGGACCTGGGAAAAGGAATATCAAAGGAAAACAAATTTAAAAAAAGGAAAAAAACAATGAAAAAGGTGGTTTCTATGATTAGGATGTCTAAGGTGATACAAAATAGTTGTAAACATTAAATTTTTTTCATCCTATCAATTTTTGAAATAATAACCTTAACTCTATCACAATTTTGAAGTCAATATATTACTACAAGTTGCAACCGCTGATTTTAGGGATTAATAAAACCCTTCTAGCACTTTTCTTGTAGTACGATTTTTGTTAAATCCTTTTTATGTAAAAGTTCTATTGGAATGGTAAAACTGTATAGTTAGATCAAGAAAAATAATTAATATATTTTTTAGTCTAATATATATTTTTTTATAAATATTTAATTCAGTTATTAAAATTTAATATAAATATAATTGATTTAGCTGATTTCTATATTCTATATTTATGATTATAATTTTAAGTTTGTTTATTTTTAATTTTAGAATAAAAAATAATAATTTTTTTAATAATAATATTGTGTAATATGTTGAATCGGATAGTATATCACTTAATATCTTTAGACTAATCTTGCATTGAACAATTCAAATAATAACCTTTTAATTTCTTTTAAGAATATATTTGATTTGAGAGAAAAAGATTGAAAGAGAGGAGAGAATAAGTTTTTTAATCAATTCAATTATAATGTTTTAAAATATTGTAATCTAATTAATAAAAAAATATGTCCCTCCCATCTTCTCCCCTCTCGACCTCTCAAACCAAACATACCTTAAAATTTTCAAAATAAGTCCCATCAAATTATTTTGATTCCTTGTTTAGAGATGTTGGGCGAATGAACCAAGTCTTAGCCAAATCGAACCGGACCTTGTGGTCCAATAGTTTAACCCCAAACTTTAAGTGTTTTGATGAAATGATCGGAGTTTTGAGTTTCATCATCGTTGTGAACTCCACCAAAAAACAACCTGATGGCCGCGCACCTCATTTGAGGGGATGAAATGTTTACCTGATTTGAAAACCAGTTGTTAACAATTAATTTATTAACTTCCCAATCATTACACTTGTAAAAAAAAAAAAAATTCTTAGCCAAATTGAAAGAAGTGTGTGCTGAGAAGCTTCCCTTCATTATGACTAAAATTTTAACATTCAAAAGCGCACAATGCCCTGAATTGATTTTTCGTTAAATACCCTCAGCTTTCATTTTTGAATCAAATTCATCCTTAAATTCCAAAAAATATTAAAAATATCCTTAACCTTTAATTTTTAGTACCCATTTCTTCCTTTCATCAACGGAAGCGACACATGGCACGTTAAGATGCTAGAAAATCATTCACTTTTTTTAAAGATTTAATAATGTGTAGAAAAACATGTCTTGTATTGATAATGTGGCATTTTTTGGACTTCCAGATCATATATTTTCATAATTTTACAACTACACTTAATCATTTTAATTGATAAGTACATTAAAAAATACAAAATTACCTAAATACTCCATCTTCATCTTCTAACTCCTTTCTCTCAACTGTGATCATCCCTCACCACTCCTCACCATCTCCAACTTTCTCCACTGTTTCTCTGCCTTCTTTGATCACTGTCGTCTTACCTTTCTTTTCCTCTAGTCACCTTTTTATCCCCCGTTTCTTCTCTTTCATCGTTCATCATTACCGTCTCACTTTTTTTTTTCCTCCTATGACTCTAATATCAACCAAACACTCATCTCACCCCCAATTCACCTAAATCCTTCAAAACCCAAGTGATGAGGAAATCCTTCAAAACTTAGGTGGGTTCTCATCAAGAGAATCATATCTCAGTTCTCCATGAGCTCAGATATTGCGATAAGAAGGAAAATGGGAACCTCGCAACATTGCATGGAGGTGCCTAAGGTTAGAGTTTCAGAGGGACCATATTTGAGATTGATCAATGGGTTTAGACTTTAGAGCTTGGTGGATTCCTCCCTCTTCTTCCCAAACCCATCACTTCTCTCATCCCTCATTATTATGGTTGGATTTTCGTTGGATTTTTGAGTGAAAATTTTTGGGTTGTTTTGCTGGACTTTCTTTAAGGAACCAACGAAAAAAAAGGAAGAAGGGAGTCCAAGAGATTATTGGCCGGAGATCTGGGAGAATGTATTTAAAAAATTAGGCCTCAATACTCCTTGTTCTATTGGATTAGATCTACAAGAATGAGAACCCAAATTGGGTTCTCACCATCCAACCAAAAAAGAAAGAAGAAAATATAGAAGGATGGAGGTGAAGGAAAACATGATAGGGAGGGACAGAGAGCTAGGGAAAGGGAAGAAGGTCGAGGAAGAAAAACCAAAAAATCATTTTGATTTTGTCTACTTTTGTTTAAATTTAGTTTATTATGATTAAATTTGATTTAATAAAATTAAGTCAAACTAATTAATTCCTTCATAACTTATAATAAAATTAAATGAGAGTTAATTTATTCCTTTATAAATTAAGAATTATTTATAGTAGGTGGAACTAATTAAATAGATGAAATATATTAATTGTTTTAATTTTTAAATGTAAAAAAATAAAATTTAGAGTTAAAGTAATTTTTTAATATTAAAAATTTAAAAAAATTCACATAATCATCTTTTACATTATGAATTTTTCACCTAATATTCAAAATATAAAATAGTCAATTACTTAATTAAAAAATTAACCACGTCAATACTTAACTGAGGGAAGTATGAAGTTAGCACCGAAAATTAAAGTTGAAGATGTTTTTGGTATTTTTTGAAGTTTAAAGATGAATTTGATTTAAAAATAAAAGTTGAGGGACCAAACTGATATTTAACCTTGATTTTTCTACCCGTTGAATTGATTTTTCTATGCCTTGGAATTGATTTTTCTATGCCTTGAATTGATTTTCCTTAAATTTTCTACTACTGCCATACATATTTCAAACCAATTTATATACGCAATTTTTTTTCATTGATAGTGTTTTGTTTTGTTTTGTTTTTTTTTATACATATATATATATACTTAATAATTATGAGTTATATAAAAAATAATAATCTTTTTATTTTTTTAAAACCCTCTTCACTAAACTTAAAATTTCAATATAAAAATTTCAATTTAAAATATGAAATTCTTAACCATTAAACTTACCCTTGCGGTATTAATAGTATTTTGTTTGCAATTCATTGTTGAGAGCCAGTTCTTCTTGCACCCTACAACATACCTTTGGGAGATGGTAGTTAATTGTTTTGACTTTTGACATTTTGGCGAATACTAAGCCAACCTTTGGAAGTGGGAAAGCTTCACTTCATTATGGCTAAATTAATTGACATGTGGGCTCAGCATAATATTGGGGGAGCATAACATGTTAGCATTTAATTTGTTAACATCTGTTGACTTTTTTGGGCATAGTGACATTTTTTGTGATTATGAAAATGGAAAATCTAGACAGATGCTGCTCTCAAGACTACTTAAATATAAGCTTCTGACGAACCGACTTTCCATCCCAAATTTTTATTTGTCAATCCAAGTCATGATTATTGAACAAGGTTTTCTTTTTACTGTATGTCTAATTCCTATCAGAATATATTATATAGATTTATTCATAACATTAAGACTTAGTTTAATAGTATTAGGTTATAGTTGTAGTCGTAATTATTAATTTTTTTTTTATTTTTTAACATTTTAAAAATGTAAAAAAAAAATTTAATATATGAGATTAATATTTATTCGTTTTAATTTTAAAAAAATTAAGTTCTCAACTCATATTTAGAAATCAAAATCTCAATTCAAAAATTAAAAATCTACTTGATTTAATATTAATATTTAAATTTAGAAAACTAATTATATTTTTTAATATAATTAATTTTTAAACTTAAATATAAATATTTAATAAAATAAATTTTAAATTTTAAATTGAATTTTAATTAAATAAAACAATTGTAATTTAAAATTAAAACTCTAATTTATTTTAAAAATTGAAATTAATATGTATTTTTTGTTTAACATATTTAATAGTTGTTTTAATTATTTTATAAAAATATTTATTTTAATTAACATTTTAGATATTTTTAAAGTAATAAAAAATATAAAAATTAAAAACTAAAATAGCAAAGAAACATTTTTAAACCAAACCTAACTCTCGCATGCTACCTTGACTCGAGAATCAATAATTAATCTTTTTTAAAGAAGAATATCTATATTTTACAGAACTAAATAACTTTATCTCTCTCTCTAATACGATCAAATTTGGATTTGATTCCATGTACTTGATATAATTATGGGTTAACCATTGTGATTGCCCGAGGCATGGTCCACCGGATGACCCGGTGTTGTTATTTTGAACCACTTTTAGGATCCCACTTCCAATTGAATAGAAATTGGAGAGCAAACCAGGGGAATTAAACCATTAAAATTAGTCAACAATATTAATAAATTAGGGAAGGAGCAAACCAATAGGATTCACGATTCTGCAGTCTGCACCCACAGCCTTGCTGCGTGGGTCCGGCTGCGTCAGTCAAGTCCAACCCGCAATACCAGCCCACTATCCTTCTTTCTCCCAAATTTTCCCCCTGTTCCAAAAAAAAAAAAAAAGAGATTCACGACTCTGTCCTCAGGTATTTTGTTTTTATTCCGTGAAACCTGGGTTTTTTTTTTTTTTTTTTTCTGAGATATTTGGAGGAATTTGAGGATGAGAATATTTTTTTAAGTTATTGGTCAGAGTGGAATTTTCAAACAATTAAATTTCAACAGTTAACATTTGCGTACCAATTATTGAAAACAAAAGGCCGTATTCGTGAAACCTGTTTTATATGTAGTAAAAACAAAAGAAAAAATTCCACCAAAAAAAAAAAAAACAAAAGAAAAAAGAGCAATGCTAGGGGCACTCGCCTCCTGCACTCTCCGGCCAACACTTTCTGTTTTATTGGTCCACGTTATTTTGGTTTCCGAGAGGTTGCTGTGAAAGCTTTTTAAAGAAGCTTACGTGGCCCAATAAAAGGGGAAGTGTTGGCCGGAAGTGCAGAAAGCGAGTGCTCCTAGGACTGCTCAAGAAAAAAAGTGTTAATATATATAAAATTGAGGATCACATGTTCATGATAAACACGACTCTGTCTGTGGAGTCTTTGTTCTGAGGACAACGAACACGGTGGGATGAATCAGAGCAGTCTCTGGCAATGGCGGCCAACCAGTCGGAACACTGCTGTCACCACCGTTATCTTCTTCCTCCTCCTCTTTGTTGGCCTGTCAGTCTTCATGGGTTGGTTTGATGTTGTGAGTGTATATATATCTTTATATTAAAGGCTTTGCCCCTCGCTGTCATCTTTCTCCTCGTCTTCGTTGTTCTTTCAGCCTTCATGGGTTGGTTTGATGTTGTGAGTGTATATATATATATATATCTTTATATTAAAGGCTTTGTTTTTTTTGTTTTGATTGCTTAAAAATTAAGCTTGATTAGTCTGATTTTCTGATTTCCAATTTCTTTTTTCTGTTTCTCAGTCTATATTTTACTCAGGTTTTTCGCTTCAGCAACAAATCCTCTCGAATCACAGAATAGAACATCCCCTGAAATGCGGAAATCAAACAGAAATTACATGTCCAATGTCAAACTACCCCAACACCACGTACAACGTCACCAATCCGGTCAATTCATCCGGCACCATGTGTCCATCATACTTCCGGTGGATCCATGAGGATCTAAGGCCGTGGAAGGAGACCGGAATTACCAAGGACATGGTGGAACTGGCCCGTAAGACTGCGAGTTTCAGGCTGGTGATTGTGAACGGGACGGCCTATTTACAAAAGTACATGTGGGTATTTGAGACTAGGGATAAGTTTTCTTGGTGGGGAATCGTACAGCTCCTCAGATGGTACCCTGGAAGATTGCCCGACTTGGACATGATGTTTGAATGCGGTGATCTGCCGTTGATCCCATCACGGAACTTTCAGGGTCCAGATGCTCGTCCTCCGCCCTTGTTCCGCTACTGTTCCAATGAAGAGAGCTTGGATATCGTCTTCCCCGATTGGTCCTTCTGGGGCTGGTAACATATAATAGAATCAC